AAAACTCGAGATGTACACTTGTAGACATTCAAATGTTAAATGTGATGCGATCCAGAATGCCTAATTTGACTGGAGACTATATAAACTGGGACTTGCCCATGTCTATACAATGTCAGGCATACTGATAAGAGAGAAATCATAATTGAGATGGTGACAGCGACATCCCATAGAGAAAATTACATCTGCTTTTGTGAGGACAATTTCTATTTTAATGGGAAGAAATGCTTCATTTTCTATGTCAGCATAAAAATAACCATAAAGTCTCGATTATGTAGCATCCAGCACCAAGGCAGGCAGTGACCCTTGCCACATGTTCCAGAGGCTCTGTTCACTGACTACCAATCCCGAATAATGACAAATGTCCTTTCAGCCTTTAGGAAGCGGGCGGGGGAAGGAAAACAGAGGGAGAAGAAACTTGAAAAGCAACAGATGAAGATACACAGAGACGGTCAAGTAGTTGAGCACTCAGCCCACCCTCACATTAACTGCAGCTCTAACGCAGCTCTGGGGTCTATTTGACAAACATCCCCCACAGAACCCTCCTGGTCCTGTCCTACCACACACATGCACCCGAATCCAAAGTTTCCAGATTTGGATTGTACCTTTGAAGACATAATGCTGGAAATCAGACTCGGAAATGGCCATTCTCCTGTGAATTTGATAAAGCTTCTAGCAAAACTGTCTATAGTGAGTTAAAATCTAACTTCACATTCGGTGTTTCCATTTGCCTGAAAGATCGCAAAGCTTTCTTTTTTCTTGCATTACCTTTTCCAGGAAAGGAAATTAAACGTTCCAAAAGAAGATTTCTACAGTGAAAGGTAGCAGAACAAGGTACCCTAAGGCACAGCAGCTTGGCATAAGAATCCTTGTGACATAGGCAGATGAAAAAATGCTAATACCTAAGAATCCACGTGACTCAAGGGAAATGAGAAGAAGCAGATGCTGGCTGGAGAGTCTGCTAAGTACCTTAAGAGCATTTGCGATTCTCCCAGAGGATTTGAGTCTGGATCCCGCTACCCACATTGGGTGTCTCCTTGTAGCCTAGAACTCTGGTTCCAAGGATCAGATAGTGTCTTCTGTTCTCTGTGGGCACCTACACACACATACACACATGCACACACACACACACACACACGTGCATGCATGGGTGCACGCACACAAAAGCACACTCCAAAGTGAATTCTAGAAAGCAGATATGAGAAAATCTCGGTGTGCTCCCCATCTGCCCAGAAGAACAGGATTCATTCCTACCAGGAGAGACAACTTCTGTTAATCCGGAGTGACGATGTTGGAACCCACCTAAGCAGCCCTTCCCCTTGTACTACAGTCCCCCACATACCTACCATCTCATAACTTGCCATCCCTAGAAGCTCCAAGTCTTTTCTCTTTGTCTCATTACCTCTCCCAAAACAAAACAAACAAACAAAACCCCTTCTGGTAAGATGCTATCAGTGCTACAAAAGCCTATGTTTCAACTCATTCGGAGCCCCCTATATGGGACTATTCCCCTATGAATGTGCGGCGGATGTGTTCAGGAACCTGTCTTTGCTTTTTTCATGATAGCCTCCCTGCTGTCAGCTAAGATAACAGGGTCTCAGCCAGTGAACCTAAGGGATAATGAAAGGAAAATGGTTTTGTCCTCACCCTCTAACAGGGGCACTAGAGAGACACAGAGCAGAGGTCCAATGTGTGATACTGATAAACTCACACGCTTGCAGTCCAAGGCCTTAACGATCCCCAAACCAACAACCACTCCACAGTGTGGGGGCTGTGAGGAGGAGGTTGGAGCCTGAATCTGGACGGGGCCCCTCTCCTTGGTTGGTTCTTTATCAGATTAATCATATAATGACCAGAGCTTCTTTACTGTATCCTTCCATTCTTGTAAGAAGGTCTTCCTGCCATTCCGGAATTCCTGGGAGTACACAAACAGCTCAGACCCTGCTGCATCCTCACACCTGCCATTGAACCCGGAAGCTCACAGGAAGCTCTGTGCCCCTCCCTGACTGTATTCACAGTGCTATGACATTTTCTTCTGGTTTGGTCAGATGCCGTTCTATTCGAAAAGACATTTTTGCCCAGGTATTTCTTCACCTCCAGAATACTGTTACCATAAAAGTGGCCAGTGGATACTTTCTTGTGCCAGCATTAGTGGCCAGTGGATGCTTTCTTGTGCCAGCATTATGCAGAGGAAAATTCTACTTAAAAAATCTTAAGCTCACTTTCCTCAGTAACAGACACTGGCTCAGGAGCTGTGGGTCATGGCCATTGCCTTCCAGAACCTACCGCGTGGAGCTAGATCTAATTCCACAGAGGAAGTTCAAGTCTTGCCATCACTGATAGATTTTAACTGCCTATTTGATGAATAGCTTTAACTGATTGGAGCATTTGCTAACCCACTGCACACATTCACAGCTCTCAACCCCTATGCGCACCATTTGAGGCTCTAACGGAAGCCACAGACAAACAAGTGATGACCTTGACATTGGATTCTACAAATGATCCCCAACTTCTATTTTGAGGAGAGCAAATATCTCCTGCCCCTTCTCACCACTGCTAGGCGAGTAGTTAAACTCTCTGACTTTTTCATAGTCGATATTTCACAACCAAGTATCAACCATTCATCACTTCACGAGGAGTAGATGCTGGGTGATTCATGGCTTCCTCCTCACAGCTGATTTATCCACACACCAGAGTCACAGTGTTTACCTAAGGAAGATTCAAGGCAGTATAGATCATAGACATGTTAGCTAGCGCCCGGCCAAACAAGTTTATGCAGGGGATCTATCAGTACTCCTGTTAGAATCAATTTAGAAATGTCTTCATCTTCTCCTGTGTCGGATTTCATCGATAAAGGACACGGTGGCTCATCTCTCTGTTTTTCTGACTAACAATATGTCTTTACTCCAGTGTTTTCTGCTCTGGGATCGATTATCTTCCTTTGTTTTAGCAGCACAGAGATTCAAACCCAGAATGTGTGAGTGTGCTAGGCAAGAGGTCTAGCACTGGGCTGTAGCCTCAGGTTTTGGAACTGATTTTAAGTATTGGCCTTCCTATATATTTCCCCTCAGTAGCATGCCTCTCCAGGTGCTCTTCAATAATGGTGATAAGTGAGTCTGATGAACACAGCACCATGAATACATGTCCTCAGAGTATCGTCAACATCGCATTACAGAATCTCAGCTTGTCACGCATGTCTGTGAGCCTGAATATGATACCAGCATCACGGCCCAGGAAGCAGTTGGGAAAGTATCAGGACTTAAAAGCACTCTTTCTCCCTCTCTCTCTGTCACACACACACACACACACACACCCCTCCCCTAGAAGACAGCCCTCTGAGGATAGAAACCTTGCTTTATTTATCTTTCTAATCTAGTGCTTGTAACAGTGCCTGGGACATAAATAAGTGTTGTTAAATAAACATGAGTTGAATTTTCCCAGGTCTAGTAGTAAAAGCCCTTTTGGATATTTTCATGGATTACTTATTTAGAGATAAAAGTAGTTTAAACGCATCAACCAACTGACATGCTACAAATTCTGTAGGAACAAATTCCCTTTACCTCTTACATAGAAAGGAAAAGGTAGAGGAAGAAAATATATTATTTATTCAGTGTTTCCCATTCAGCCCTCTGAGCAAAGGGGCAGAAACCGGACCTCAGGGCTGACAGCATTCTCTAGGATCTTTGGCTCATGTTGCTAGCTGGAGTATCTCATGTTTCCTTTTCAGTGAGTAAAGTTTCTTCGGTATAATGTGCCTTCATCTAAGAAGGAGCGCAAATCCTATGAACTCCAAACTGGACTCTAGCTTCTTCCTTGTTTTTTATTCTGTATCTCCTGGCTTTGCTAGTCTCTCACCATTCAAAGTCTAACAGGGGAGAGCATGCTTTAATGCCTGAGAGTGGCTATCCAGGGTGCCCAGCCTTTGGGTAGCCAAATAAAAAGCTTCCTCCTCTGGGCTCTGTTTCCCTCTCTGTAAAAAAGCAGAGCATAAGATTTCACAAGAGCACCAGGCTATTGTGAGGGCTAATTAGACTTAATGAAGGCAAACTGATCAGGTAGTAGTCAAAGAGCCATTTGTATTCCTCAAATATAATCCTGGTTTAGGAATTAAATTAATATGAAGTGGAATCTTTGGCACTCATCTTCCCACATTACAAAAAAAAAAAAACCCAACCATATTTTCTGATCAAAATCCTGTTCTAAGCGTAATCTAAAAAAGTAAAACAGAGATCTATGAATTATTAGCCATTTTTGAAGTAACATAATGGTACCTGGCTCAATTCCTTCATTTTTCTTTATTTCTTTTATCTTCCTTTCCATGATGCCTTATGAATTGAAAGGCTAATTTTGTGCAGTAATATAAAGGAGCAGAATTTGAACCGATATTAATCTATTTTCTTGGTTTCACATAGAACACTTTTGAAGTCCTTTAAGTTGTCTCTTCAAAGAATCATTTATAACATGTGGTTGAAATAACTTCCTGGCATTTCTGGGCAGTCCCACTTAGGTTTGTGTTCAAGAAGTTGCCAATGAAAGACCTTTGCATTGCTCCCTACCCCCCCCCAAAGTCAATAGATATTTAAGGTTAAAGCTGAAGGGGAGGGCATCTAAATACTAATATATTTTCTTTATTAATTTTACAATAATTGCAATTTGTTAATAAGTTAATAAATAGATTAATTAACTAAAATTTTTCATTGGAAGCTGAACCTAACACCTAAAAGATGTCTAGGTTAAATAAGGCACACTTTGAAAAGGAAGCACTGTTTTTAAAGATGAGTCAGGCAATCTTGGGAAGTTGGATACATCTGTAAGGGGAAAGATGCTGCCCAGAGCCTTTTTGGTGAACGAACAGTTCTAACTAAAAGGAACCCTGTCAGAGTTTCCTTGCTGGCTTATTCCAGGCTAGTCTGGGATCCATGGGACACTGCTTCTCGAAACCAAACAAAATGTGCGCAACAATAAAAGATAACGGATATTCCCAACTTAACTTGCGTACTCACCAAGCAAATTTCTGGTTATTCATTCGGTTTCCCCGGACCCTGGATACTGGGGATGGATGGACCCTGTCAACAGACAAACGGAAGTCAGGGATTGAGAAAACATAATTTTGATCGCACATGGGAAGGCAGAAAGTATCTACTCCATCAATAAACAAATGAGGTTCATTTGTTCTCTTGTGAACTTGACCATCTCTTAGTAAACAGATGCAATTAAATTCCTCTGTCCCCAACCCGTAGGCTTCTTTCTTTATCTCTCCCAAGGTAGCAAGGCATCCCGTGTCAACTGTAAGGGTCCCGAGTGCAGTACCGCTGGTTTCAATGAACAGATGTACTCCTGCAAAAGACACGGTTACTGAAGATGTAATCCTGGCCTGGGGGTAAGAGTGCGTAAAATAGCATGGAGGCCATGATACCTGCCCTCATAGAGCCCTCTTATGTCTGTTGCCATAGAAACTGCACAAAGAGACAGTTAAATGGCTACACTTTCACTCGATTTCTAAATGTTAAAGTCAAGAAAACAGCAGGACTTCATTCAAGTGGCCAGCAATGGGCTGTGTGTAAACAGCGCAGGATGGAGGGGTGAACGGATATTTCCAGGAGACAGGCTTTCTAAAATTTACTAAAATGTATGCTCTCTATCTGAGTTGAGGAAGGAGTGAATTCAGAACTTTAGCAGGTAACAGAAATAAATATAGAGTTCTCCAAGCTTCCGAGGTTGGAGTCACGCAGGGTTTGAATTTAAAGCCTTCCAGGTGCTGCTGGTATCCTCTAACTGGGGCCAGTGGCTGGACACCCTCCGCTTTGAGAGTTACCAACTGGCCAAGGAAGCAGTTTGGCTACTTCAGCTGCCTAGCGCCTCCCTTCTTGCTTTGGACTGCTTGCCTGGGAGTCCTGATCTAGCCATTCCTTTAGTTCAGATCGTCATCACTCTTCACACATTGCTTTTATTCACAGGGAGGGAGGAAAGGAGGAAGGATGAAGGAAGGAAACAGAATTATCTTAATTGGTCCAAAGGCCCTGTGAAAACCAGCAGCCCGAGGTCCATCCGCACCCCAGCCCCTCACTGCGACTCAATGAAAAATCACATCAAAATAGATAGAGCAAGCCAGCCTTTTGGGGGGTGGGGGTGGGGGTGGGGGCGGGAGCGCCATCTTTCCCGAACCTGAGTTGGGTTGCACTTTGTAGCTGATTTCCTCTACCACCCCTTATTAGCATTCTTTTTCTCACAGCCTTCTCAGCGGTGGCTGCAGCTGAGTTGCTCAGCACAGATTTTCCGCTCTGCATGGGGGAGGGGGTGATAATTATGCAGAAAGATGGAGGGAGGCCAGGCAGCCCCTCTGCTGAACCGCCTCATTCAAGAGCGGCCCACTTCCTGCTGTTCTGCAGCTACAAGGATCACCTGTTGGTCTTGGCATCTGTCCAAGCTGGGGCCTGGCGGAAATGACAGCGTCAGCTAGAAATGAAAGCCAGCTCCTATTCCAGTACCTCAAGATACATACTTATCTCTCTCTCATATGTGTATGCACACACACACACACACACACACACACACACACACACACACACACATAAGACTTACATAAAAGGAAACAAAATTCATTTTCCCCTGCCTTCTTCAAACAAAATCCTCAAGATGAACATTTGAGTTAAAAAAAAAAATTACTCCCTAGATGATCAGATAAGGCCACAGACCAAATGGAAGCTGCAGGAGACCACCAGGAACTCAACCCGGCTCCTCGCTGAGGCACTGGTCCTTAGAGTTAAGTACATTTTCAGAAGTCGTTTGTTCCAAGGATTCGCTCTCTATAGCACGCCAAGTCCTTTAACCCTTAACCTCTTTACCGCACCCTCCTTAAGCATAACCGTACCCGGGATTTGTGTCTTCCATATGATCAACTCTAGCAGCTACTATAACAGCTGAAGTTGAAGGATCACAGTGTCTTAGCGCCGCTCATTTCACACCCCAGGCGCACATAGGCAAGAGGCACTGGGCTTCAGCATTCCCTAATTACAAAACATTCTAGACACTGGTGTCTTGGAGAAAAAAAATCGGTGAGCCTATATTAAAAAAAATTCTCAATACATGGTTCCCTTCATGGTTTAGTAAATTTAGGGGGGAAATTCAAAAACAAAAAAAAAAAACTTCTGATAAACTGTATGAGCAAATAGCTGGAACAGTTCTTAAACTCAAACTAGGAGTGGAGAAATATTTTCTTCCTCTGAGGGTACTTACTTCGCCCCAAAATGCAGACAACGATTACATGCCAGCTATCATTTAAATTTTTATTTCTTCAAAAGGACATGCCGCGTTCCGGGGAGTTCCATTTTTAAAGGGCAGCGCCTCTGCCTGCTACCAGCCTCTTTCCACATATAGCAGCCAGGCAGGTAGCAGAGTCAAACACCCAGTAGTATAAACGCCTGTCTAATCTGCATGTCATGCATTATTCATGACCCTCTGATTTCTGCACCTGCATCTAGGCAGGAAGCTTGCTGGGCACATTCATTATCCTTCGCGCAGCCTCCTCATCCAGGCTCCATTACTCCTGAGTCACTTTGTTCTGTAACTAAGGGTTCCAGGCCTCGGTGCTAACTGCTGGATGTGAGGAGAAAAGGACGCACCAGGCTGAAGCGAAGGATGATCTTGATGTTGTGTAACACAGCGGATCTGACAAGGTTCTCCACGGAGACGGATTGCTATGTGGGCTATTACGGCTCACGCGGGGTGATTTACATTGCGCGGAAGAGACGGAAGTGGCACCACCGAGGCCCTGTGCACCAATTGTTCTATTTATACATACTGACTCATCTGGGACGGCAGCCTGTTTATAATTTCACTTTTTTTTTTAACTTTCTTGCTACATTTGAAACTTTTTGATATCTTACCATAAAGACGACCCTTTCTTCTTTGGGTGCAAGTACTGAGCCGGCTTCCCAGATCCTGTATTATTATGACTGGTGGAGTTGAGAGAACACGACAGTCTGCTTTTGAGTGTCTCCAGGGAGTTACACCAATGACTGGAAGGAAGAGGTGGGATGTGGTCTGGGTCCTGGACACACATTCTGAACGACCGAGGAGTTTCTGAAGTGTCACGCTGTCCCACCCACCTACCAGGCACAGAAGGAGAGCTATGGCAACTTGTGGCAGCAAGTAGAAGAGAGGCCAAGCCAGGCAGGGTGCAAACTGTATAACCAGCTTTCGTGGGGTTAGAGCACAGCGCCGCCAGCTAAGGACAGTGCCATCCAAGGCAAGTCGCAGCATTGATCCCTACCTCAGTATCCTCAGCTATGGAAGGGACATGGTACAGATATGGAAGCCACACGCAGGACCACAGTCTGGAGGGTGTAAGGGGGATGAAACAGTCCCACTGTCCAGTCTCATCACAGCCACCATAGTGTCACATGGCCCTATGACCTGGTCAGCAAACATACTGTGTTGTCGTCGGCATCAACATTTATCACATACAACCATGTACAGTGCACAGCATCTGACAGCCATGGGCACCGACCGTCACACTGTTATAGTTACTTTAGAGGAGACTACCCCTGCTCGTGCTTTAAAACAAACCAAAAGTCACCATGTTCTCATCAGTACTGCGGATTGAAACCAGGACCTTGTACACGCTAGCCAAATACTCTACCACTAAGATCCATACCCAGCTCCACTCTGACACACGTCACCACGCATCCGGCATCTCATTCACCAGGTCCCCTGGCTCAGACATCCATGCCATGCCTATTTTCAGATCTGGGGGTTGAGTTGCTGTCTTCAAATCCCAGTGTCCGAATTTGTCCACCTGCACTTGGCCACTTTCTTGACTCATCAGCGGTGACCATCTCCTAAACTTTCTTCTTTCTCCTGTGCCCAGTTTGCCAACCTGAACCCCTAGTGTGTCTGGGGCCTCCTTTCTATGTTCTTCTCTCTCCCTTGTGGATGCGTATTCTGTTGTAAGTTGAACATGTTTCCAGCATGGCTACGGTCACCATCTCACCACCTACACAGGGACTGGATCAGGTCGGCCTTGCTGGGTTACACTCTACCAATCAGTCACTCTTTTACCATGCCATTCTGCCCAATCACATTCCCAAGGAGGTGTCCATGTGGCATGAAACCTAAGCATAAAAGTGCAGACTCTATAAACCTAGCTTCCTGAAGAGTCGCCTGGTGCAGAAGTCTTAGATCAAATCAGTATGCCATGCTTGTTTCTGGCTAACTTATGTTTTGCTATATGAATCCCATCCAGCCCACAAATCCTCTCCCTGGGTAAGAAAAGGGATACCTACCCCAACCACTCTAATTACCTTCAGGCCTGGATCAGACAGGGTTTCTCAGTCCCACTCTTTCCCTGAGAGGACAGAAGGAAGGGGTTACCTCAAGAAATGTGGTGTGACTAACAAGGCTGCCCTATGTAAGACAACTTGCTTCCTATTGACAAAACAGGATAAGCTCTACACACCAGGGAAATCTGAAAACAAAACACAAGAAAACAAAATCCAACCAATCAACTAAATGAGCACACTGAATGTCCGGTTCATGTGCCCTGTATCAGAGACACTGCTTCCTATTGAGAACGTCAGACTAAACTACTTCACAGACCAAGAACATTTTCTGATAGGCTGCCACCCTATGTGTGTGATTATATATTTGATAACTCTTAAAAATTATTACATACTTATGCTTGCTACTCTATTTATTTTTCTGTTATGTTGCAGGCCATACTTTCATCGACGAACTAAGCAAATGCTACAAAAGTCCTTTTAATAATTCATTTTACTGCTTTGTTGAGGACTTAGAAATAATTGCACAGTTATTATTAAATATCAACATGTTCTTATGCAAAACATGTGAAAGATAATTTAGAAATGATTTAGAATTGGATTTGCTCTAATTCATACAGTGACAGCATTGGTAACAAATTCTCATAAGCATTCAGGCTAGTCCAGGTGTTATTCTAATAAATACACTACACCTGGGCAAATAATGAGAATGCAAATCATCAAATGAACTGGGTCCTTTTTATTCTTAGCAAAAAATTGATATCTATGATTAGATGACCACTAGAAAT